CCATCGCTGTCCCCCTTGAAGTCAAAGCCCGTGTGGGCCCTCTCCATGCAGGGCTAGACACGGCGCACTATGAAGCTCGCCACCACCAATCCGCCATTCATCCTCACATCCTTTATTAGGCCAAGGAGCTCCCTCACCTACTCCATGTCAGCACTGCTCAGCCTCTCCGACCAGCTCCTCTGGTTCTCTGGAACATGGTTGATGTCGCAGCAGATGGTGAGTGGCTCTGCTTCATGTAGAACCACCTGTCGTTCCACCCCTTCAGCGAGGTGTTCAGCAATACAGTGATGTACTCGCCCGCCATTCCATCGCGTAGCTGAAGATAAATGCCATCGACCACCTTGGATCTGTTGCCACCCTTCTTCTTCAGCCAGAACAGATGATGGAAGAGGTTGAAGTGGGGAAGAACTCCGAGAAATGCCTCATAGAAGTGGATAAAAATCGAGATGTGCAAGATAGTGTTTGGGTGGAGATTACACAGACTAACTCTCCAGAACTCCAACAGGTCCCTCAAGAAAGGATGAATGGGAAATCCTAACCCGCGCTAGAAATAATCCTTAAAAACTACTACTTCGTCAGTATGCGGCATTGGGAAAGGCTCACCGCTGGCTGGCTGCCATCCGGTGGTGACACAGTCAGAAAGGACGCCCGCCTCCACCATCCTATTGATCTCCGCCTCCCCTATGTTCAACGGCACCCACTCATTGTCATGGCTGGCTTTGGTGGCCGCCTTCTTTGGGTTTCTAACTCCCCTCTTCGGCGCCATCTCTCAGATCTGGTTTGGGATTGGCGGTGGAAGCGCGTATGAATCTAGAAGTGCGAGGGGTGAGGAGGAAGATGAAATGGCAAAGTGGCAAAGGTGGGAGCGTGGGGAGCGATGGCGCAGTTATAATGCACTCCCCCACCTTTTCGCATTCGAGGGTTTTTGGGAAACCGCTCCACGATTTGTGCCTCTCCGAATTCTCTAAAACAACATGGTGGGCCGTTACCTGGCTTTCGCGCAACTGCAGCCCGTATCGCCCATTTATCGCTGCAATTTGTTACTGCTCACCGAATATTCGCCGACTTCTCCGCCACCTGTTACGGCTCAGTAATTACTACTATACAACCATTACTCTGGTTTTTTCTCCACGATTTGTTTTCACCAAGATTTCCACTTGCGGCTCAGGGACTGCGTCAGCAATACGACTTGGTTCCTCATCGCACTAGGGACTTTCTTCTGTTGACTTTTGTTTCTGACCCTGGCACCACGTGACTATGTCACCTACTGTAAGGCTCGGGGACTAAGTGGGCACACTTCACCTTGCGGTGAATGTGCTTTTCTCATCTCGGGGCTACGCCCGGGGACTGGCTGCCTGCTCAGCTGGTCTTCTGCTTTTCTTCTACTTTGGACCCTGGCACCACGTGACTACGTCACCTACTGTCAGGCTTGGGGACTAAGTGGGCACACTTCACCTAGCGGTGAGTGTGTTTGCTTTAATCTGGAAGACTCCGCTCCTCCTAAAGTTGAAGAAGACTATCTCCCTTTCTCGTGGTCGGACTCTAAGTGGTCACACTTGGTCCGCTGTAGGGAAATTTTTGATTTTGAACTTGAGCTCCTTACATCCTTATGTCAAGCCTTACTTGGGATACACTGCTCGGCGACGGTTCACACTGCTCAGCGAAGGTTCACACTGCTCGGCGATGGTTCACAGCTGCTCGGCGATGGTTCACATTGCTCGGTGACGGTTCACGCTGCTCGGCGATGGTTCACACTGCTCGGCGATGGTTCACAGCTGCTCGGCGACGGTTCACACTGCTCGACGATGGTTCACAACTGCTCGACAACTCATCACGGTGGTCAGACCATGAGTTTGACTGCTTGGCCTTGTTCACACCTGCTCGAACAAGCTCAAGATGGTGTTGCACAATGGATACAAGGCGCTCGGGGACTAGCTGTGGGGGGTACAACCCCGGATACCCATGGCAGACCCCATGGGCTGCGCCCCCAGGGGTGGCCCAGCCCACAAGACGAAGCCTTGCGGGGCACGGCACTCCTCGGCACGTCCCGTAAGACACCGGGAAGATATCCTAAAGATGCTACGAGATCTGTTAGGATACATATGATCCCATGATTCCTGTAATCTATTATTACTTTCCGGTTATCTCCTAGATCTAACCGACTTGTAACCCTACCCCCTGGACTATATAAGGCGGACAGGGACCCCTCCAAACACAGGCAATATCATACGATAGCCAATACAATCCAATGCACCACGGGTAGGGTATTACGTCACGACGGCGTGGCCCGACTCCGTCTAACTCATGTGTCTCTGTTGCTTTCTTGTTCTCGATTACACGCATCTCTGTCGATCAATCTATCTTCGTGGGATACCCCTCGGAGGACTGCCGACGATATTCTGTCGACAAATACATAGACACAACTGACCCTGATCTCCATGGATGGACATTGCCGGATCTGGTGGCCTAAGAATTTTCCTCCATGTCTTTTCCTCCATATCAACAGCAACTATGTGGGACACCTCCAGCATGTGCATAAAACCATTAAGAAACACAGTTCCTGAAAATTTGCATACTACAATATACTCTCCCCATTCAGATTATTTACACATCCATGCTCTAGTTTTGGATGAGTAGATGCTGACAACTAACACCCTAGGCAACCTTACCCATAGTTCTACCACATGGAAGTGCGAGGAGATTGTGGGATCGAACCCCAAGCGAGCTGAACCATAACAAAGGTTGCTATGCGGCAGTACCACTGATTTGGTAGTCACCGGATTGCAGACAAAATAGCGAAGCCCAACGCACTAGCAGATGAAGTGGCCTCTGTAGTAATCTGAGATGACTAAATCATAAATGGGGAACAGTAAGAAGGAAATGGAGGGGTATTCACCGGTGAAGCTAGCGAATCGGCGTTTGTCTTTCTAGTTGCCATACATGAATCCAGCGACAAACTGGGGCAGCTCCTTACGGTGCTTAGATTCGGAGATGAGGCGGTACCAGGAGCGACACACACACTTGCAGCTGCACAAGGTGCGAGCAGTGAGGCGGCGAAGGATAAGGACCAAGACATCGTCTATGAGGATGTCTACTTCGTTCGTCTTGTTGGTAGCCTCCTCCTCCATCTTGACTAGGATGTGGTGGAGCGGGGCCAGTGATGGAAGCGGCAGCGCTGTTGCCTGAATCATAGTAGGAGCACCTACGGGGATGTGCTTGTGAGCTCCTTAATGATCAAATAGAAGCTTGATTCGTACTCGGATGAGATAAGAGGGAATAAAAGCTAAGAAACATGGATAAGGGAAGTGCGAGAAAGCATTACCCTTGCCTTTGGATCTTGCGGCAATGAGCTCGAGCGGCCATGGCGGTGATGAGTACCAGCCTGGTCACCGGTGGATCTGTGCGGGCGTGCCGGTGACGCGTACCGACGCGGAGCACTAGCTTGTCGGCGGTGAGTGTCGGCTTGCACGCCGATGAGTAGGTGAGTAATAGCAACACTTGAGGAGGATACGGACAGGGTGGCGGCTGGGTGGGTAGTGGTCTTTGTAAGCTAACTACAAACGCGCCAAAAGTTCTAAAAACACGTGGGAGTCTCGCGCTGGCTTGCAAATTTTGACGATATCAGCGGTGAAGGCTACCGGCGGTGGTGATTGGGTCTTAAAGAAGATGGTACGTAGCACCTAACGGTGGGCGTGTCATACGAAAATTGAACATTGGAAAGGAACAAAATATTATAAACATTATTTTTTTTAGGTTACAACAAGAAGATGTTAGCACCAAACGGCGAATAGCGGCGGTGATACAATTTTTTCAACGACGCTTATAACCGACGGTAACATAATTGTATAATGTTGATACTAATCAGTTGGGCCTTAGTAGCTTATTGAACATACAATGCACTAGACAACAGGGGGTTAGATGAGGTAAAGGTTAAAGAAAGTAGTAATAGATTGATTTTTGATCGATTGTGTGTGATTAACCTCAATCGGCCGTGATCCTCAGATATATATAGAGGGTGTGATCTTATCTCAGTACGAAACCTTTACCAAACATAATACGCAAGTTTTCCATGAGATCGAGGTCTCTTGAAACTCGAAACTCAACAGCTCGGGAATGACCTCGTTAGGGCATATGGTGGCTATGGGATGCCCTAGCTGACCTAACCACTCTAGAACTTTATCATCGTTGAACCACCGGCCATCAACAACAACGAAGAATGAGGAGCCATAGTAGATGGGAGAAGTAGGGTAGTGTAGTAGATTTGGGTCTCAGACTAAAACCGTACGTCTTAGGCTAGTTTCCAAAACTGGCATAGGCCGGTTTGTACAAGGCCATGCAGGCAAGGTGAGAAAAGCAGACTAGGCCAGTTTTTTATAACATTTTGCCCATTTAGTCCAAATTTGGTTCAAATTCAACCTTTTTGTTTGCGCGAGATTTTTCAATCCATCTTTTAACTCACCCAATCACATTCTGACTATCAATAGTAGTCATGGATGACAATGAGCTCGATAACGTCATCTAACTGCAGGATGACCACGATAAGAGTGTTACATACCGAGCTCCTCGCTGGATCGTAGATTAGAATTAAAGACGATGCTGCATTATGGAAGAATGTAATTGTAATTATTTGTCTCTAGTAATTTCTTGCTAATAAGGAAGGTAGAGATGTAATGAGTACTTGAGTAGAAGGAAATATAATATTAAGTTGAAATTCCTGGTTTTCCTTGCAAACATGTTGAGATCTATATGGAGCACAACAAAAATATAATGTCAGAAATAAATACTCTGTGTGCTTCAGAACACAGTAACGTAATTAAAGTTAAACCTAGCAATGCACAAGCATTCTGCTACTAGTAATTAATCAAATAAAGTAGGTACAATGAAATGGAATAACCTATAAGAACATATGAGAACTGGTGTTACTCAATCACAAAATCAAAAATTTCTGTTGATACGTATATATGGTATTTATCACCTTTCATCTCATATATTGGTCTCAGGTTATAATCCATCTCAACAAAAGAGCAACTGTACTCGCAGATGTGGGAGTATAGACGTTCCATTTCCATTTGGCTTGGAAGAAGGCTGCTTTGCAAGAGAAGAATTTCATCTGAAATGCAACGACACGGCACCATCCACTCTCCTTTTGGACTCTATATGGCAGTATCACGTGACTAATATAAATGTTGAAGACGGGCTTATCGAGTACATTAGCCCGGACGAGAGAAATAATCCTGAAACTTGTGGTATCCGTACATGGGACGGACAAGAACAAAATCTGCGAAGTCTTTACCTTAGTTCTGGGAATGCCACCACCGTTTCTGTGCAATGGGTTGCTGCCCAATTAACCTGCCAAGAGGCAAAACAAAACCAGTCCGAGTATGCGTGTGCAGAAAGTGAATGTATAACGATCCAACATACCGGTGGCTACTTTGGTTACAGATGCAAATGCGCACGTGGATATCACGGAAATCCATACGTCAAAGGCGGTTGTATCGGTATGCATGTCCTCTATGAGATTGGATTATATATTCACTTCAATCTTTGTGCTCATGTGAACCTTTTAACCTCTAACTATTAAATAAATCGTTACCTTTTCAACCTTTGCTCTCACTTAGTCACTTAGGGCGATTGTTGATGTAGGCTAAAGAAGCTTTTGCATATTTAAAAATTGATAAAAATATTTTTGTAGTTTTAAAGACTGTCACTCGTGCTGTGATTATTTCAAAATAAAGTATATGAATTTATCTACATTTTTTGAAATTAGATAAACTATTTTTGAGCTAATAAACTTTAATCCATCTAGAGCAAAACTTTTTCACGAACCATAGTATAGACACAAAAATCTAGTAGGTTTTTATTACTCATATATGTGCCTAATACTATTTTGAGACTTGTTTAAAGAGATATACTGATTTTCCAATTCAGAGGCGTGGTTCCCAAACAAATTATTAATTCTGAACGATTTGGTTTTTTCTAGATACGTAGCATTTGCTATGCATTTAGATATACACTGTTTAATACATAATAAAAACTAGGTATTAAAAAAGCCAAAACGTCTTATAATTTGGATCGAAGAGAGTAGCAATTAGTAATTGACTTTAGGCAAGTCTCGGAAAGTTTTGTTGCGCATCTTATTCATTTTTCCAGACTTGCCTAAAGTCAATTACTAATTGCTATTCTCTTCGATCCAAATTATAAGACTTTAGGCAATTAAACATCTTATTCAGTTTTGTGGCTAGGACTATTCAGATCAGAACCTTATTCATTTTTGGTCTGGGGTAAATCAAATTTTTAATTGAGATGCTGAAATGGGTTTAACTGCATCTTTTGTTCGCAGATATCGACGAGTGCCTTCAACCAAATATTTGTCCCGAGATGTGCAACAATACCGCTGGAAACTATACATGCATTCAATGCCCTTACGGTACAGGGTATGATCCAGTGCTAAGGCGTTGTACCAGAAAGCACCAAAACCTTCTCTTAGGTAGCGCATTTTTATGTGTACAATGGATTAATTTGGAATTGAAACAAATTAAACTACTATAGTTTGGTAAAAAAAAAGGGAGGAGAGAACTTACAAGCTATATATTTTTTTGTCTGTAGGTATTGCTATTGGCCTAAGTGTTGGCCTTGGAATTCTACTTCTTTGTTTAAGTGGGGTTTTCCTTATCCGTAGATGGAGAAGAAATATCCAGAGGCAATTGAAAAAGAAATATTTTCGGCAAAACAAAGGTCTTCTTTTGGAGCAACTAATATCCTCAGATGAAAACCAAAGTGATAACAAAATTTTCTCCTTGGAGGAGTTGCAAAAGTCAACAAACAACTTTGATCCCACACGTATTCTAGGTAGTGGAGGACATGGTATGGTCTACAAAGGCATCTTGTCAGACCAACGTGTGGTGGCCATAAAAAAGCCTAAGGTCATCAACGAAGGAGAGATTAATCAGTTCATCAATGAAGTTGCAATTCTCTCTCAGATAAATCACCGTAATATCGTAAAACTTCTTGGATGTTGTCTTGAAACTGAGGTCCCTCTACTGGTGTATGATTTCATCCCTAATGGTTCACTATATAAGATTATACATGATGGCCATCAGAGTAATAATGAATTCTCATTGTCATGGGATGATTGCTTAAGGATTGCTACAGAAGCTGCTGGCGCTCTCTGTTACCTCCATTCTGCAGCATCAGTATCGGTTTTTCATCGTGATGTGAAATCTTCTAATATACTGTTGGATGGAAGCTATACTGCAAAAGTTTCAGATTTTGGCGCTTCAAGATTAATTCCAATCGATCAAACCCATGTTGTTACAAATGTACAAGGCACATTTGGGTACCTAGATCCAGAGTATTACCATACTGGGCAATTGAATGAGAAGAGTGATGTCTATAGTTTTGGTGTTGTTCTTTTAGAGTTGCTTCTAAGAAAGGAGCCTATCTTTACGAGTGATTCTGGATCAAAGAAAAACTTGTCAAATCACTTCCTTTTGGAGATGAGATCAAGGCCAATCACTGAAATTGTTGCCCCTCAAGTTCTTGAGCAAGCTTCTGAGGATGAGGTTACCACAGTTGCCTCTCTTGCTGAGGAGTGCCTGAGGCTCCGGGGTGAAGAAAGACCTACTATGAAGCAAGTGGAGATGAAATTACAACTTTTGAGAAATAAAGGTTTGAGATCAGGCAATGGTAGTACAGAAAGCAGTTACGAGATACAGCCACCAGTACCTATAAGACTTGCAACACATCACTATCAATCTTTGCCAACTGATGGAAATAATAGAGCCAATGCAGCATCTTCAGGTTGCTATAGCTTGGAGCAAGAGTTTCTGTCGTCTGCTAGTTTGCCACGATAAATTATGTTTATCTAGCCACTGATTTACTCCAGGACCTTCTTATATTCTCTTATTAATTACTGTTTTGTACAAGCATCCAGAATGATCATCTTTGTTGTATTCTGAACGCTCTATTTCACTTGTTAATTATTAGTGTGTTAGGTCAACGTATGATAATAAATTTATGTTGTCTGATCAACATGATCTTTTTCTGTCTATGCTGCTAGATTGCTGAAATTTTCTATGTCGGACATATGAAACTGCAGGTCCTTTTTCTGAAAAATTTGTATTAGGGTCTCCCAGCAGAGCTGACTGCTCCTGGTAATTTTTGAATGGGAAAAGCACTTCAAATTTACCGTTGCAAAGTGGCCTATTTCCGTGTTTGCCATCATGAAACATAAACTATCGTGTATGCTTGTCGAATTTACACTACTTATTGTTTATCCCATTATTATGGCAACTAGCCAAACTAAAAGTTCAACTTCCACTTTGAAACGGCGATATCTCTGTCTGAACAGCCTGAAGCAGTTCTCAATTCTTTGAAGTTTCAACTGAGATACGAGTTAAGTATACTCATCCACACAAACTTCCTTCGTCCCCCTAAGATTTTTCTGCTGGCCATATGCTAAGTCATCCCTCGGCATGTCCCAATCGGTTTTGACACATGCATAAAAAAATTGTGTATTTTTATATTTCGAAAAGTTGTATATTAATTCATTTGTGCCATGTGCCGACGGTGCTCCCAGTCTGCTACCTGATTAAAAAGGAATTAAAAAGTAATACGGTTCACTACAGTTTACTGTTAAACGAATGAAGCACGGTTTCCCCAAAAAAATTTCTTTATAAAACAGGTTGGATGATTGTATTTACATTAAGTTAGGTTTTTCATCCATTTTCAGAAAGCTAACTGAATGGACTGTGTAGCGGGCCTAGATGAGTACATGGTTGTAGGCTGGCCCAAGTGCCAGCATAAAGCCTTGTTCACTGCACAGACCACGGGCCTGGGCTCTACATAGTTGAACCCAATAAATAGATTATCAATATAAAGATGTCCTCCATATGTTGTAAAAAAAAAGATGTCCTCCAAGAGGAAAATGTGTGCGAAGGCAAGAAATACTCAATCCTTTATGCATTTGTGGGACACTTTAAGAACAGCTTATCCTACAAGAAAAGCGAGAAGTGCCTCTATCGTTTCGGAAACAAACAGGCACGAATCATCCCAAAGGGCCATTAAGCCACTTTCCGTTCATCATCCGTCTTGTTAGATGCAATGTTAATGATTAATTGATTATTAGTGACGGCAGTCCGCGGTCGACCCAACAATATATGTAGAGTTTTTTTTATCAATATGACCCTGAAAAAAACACATCTTCCTTGTATGGTCCTTTTTTCTTAACTTACCTGTATGATCTCAAAACGAAATTCCCCTTTTTTATGGCCTTCCGTCTGTTTTTGGCACTTGACGGTGTTAAGTCCATGATAAAATGACCATTATATCCTGGCGGGAAAAAAATAAAATGTAGAGTTTTGTTTGTCTATTGTAATTTTGGAGTAATATTACGTAAATAAGTTCACATATAACAGTACATAATAAGACACATAATCAAGTACACAAATACGTTGTAATAAAGTGAGCTTATTAAATGCATAAAAAATTGCATAAATGCATTGCAATTAACCATAGGTTGACACATAAATTGTTCATAAATCCACTATAATTTTAGTCTCACATAAATAAGGTCACATAAAAGTACAATTTTAAACATACATTCATCTCACATACGACGAGCGAACTTAATATGCATATCACAAATTAAAGGCCGAGCCTTCATTTGCTTCATGTGCTCCTGCAGCTTGTTCGCTGGTTGGTTTCTGGGCTGATAAGCCCAACTGACGCTATTTTATTGTAAGAGAAAAATATTATAACATGACTGATAAACTCTGGCAGAAATCAACGAGTGAACAGACTTATGGTTACACTGCTAGGAAGTCCTGTCTTACTTCTTGTACCCATCGAGCAGCGCGTTGTCGTTCAGCAGCCGGGTCTCCACGACGCCGACGTCGAGAGGCCGGGGTGGCGACGGTGTCGCCTCCCGAGTCGCATCCTCCCGTGGCTCGTGCATGCTGTATCCTATCGCTTTCCAGTATTCTCAGAGTTCTCGTTCACCTGCATGTTAAGAGGAGTTGAAGAACAGAAATATTTGCACTGACATGTTTGCCTATGATCTTGGAGATGAAATGTGATGATTGTGATAAACATTGTATGTATAGATAGCATGTCTATGCGTTGTTATGGGACAACTAACTTTTACTATTGAAAACACACGGATCACGTGATAAAATAACAATACTGTGAAATTAAGTACTGACATTAAAGCACACATTTTTTTTAAGAGAAGGATATCAAAAGTCAGGATTTGTATAACTTGGCTTATTTTAAATAATTAGAAAAACAACAAGTAAGATAATATAATATAGCACGATAATAATTATAAAAATGCACTTACACAAAGCGCAGGTCCATGTGATGCTTCATAATATTTTTGGATTAACATTTTTAGAAATGTAATATTTTTAGGATAAAATGAGAAAAGACCAAACTATGCATAACCTACAATCACAGGTACTCTAACCAAACCTCCAAAATTATCCTCAGCACTTCAGCAGCCGGCACCAGTGAGTAAGGATGAAAACGGACGGGATGAATCCCGTTCCATCCACAATCGTATTCCGTTTTATACCATCCGTTTTTGTTTTTCCGGAAAAATACGAAAACAGAACCTAATACGTTACGGGGTGCACCGGGATCGGGACAAAAAATGGTTGAGCATTTGTTCGTCCGTATTGCTGGTATCCCATTTTCGACCTAGATATACCGTTTTCATCCCGTTTTTGTTTCTATTCGAGATAGACGCGCTCAGCTTAGACTCAGTCCATCTAGGCCCATTGGCCTAAAACACAAACTCAACACCCCGCATGCCCACACCCCACATGTGCAACGGCGATGCGGCCTCCTCCGTCCACCGTCCTCTTCCTCTTCCTCCAATCTACGCGGTTGACGTCACTGCTTTAGCGTGGCCACTGCGGTAAGGATGAAAACGGATGGAAACGAACAGAAAATAGCTCTACCGTTTTTGTTTCCATATTTTTTTAACGGAAACAGGAGCAGGAGCCTAACAGTCAGGAACAAAAACAGTAGCAAGACAAACAGTAATACGGGTAAATACAATCGAAAAATAGACGGAAATGGACGGCAAGTGTGATTTTAAGCCGGAAGTACATGCCACGGATGACAAATCAAAGACATAAACGAAAGTGTATAGACAAATAGATAATACACCTAACAAGTGAGCCACTACCAGCGACAAGTTACCAGCGCATAGGACCAAGCAAGTAAAAAACAATTTCCTCACAAGAAAAGAAAAGAAAAAAATCAGGGAAAAAATGACGGAGTCTCCAGAAGCTGCGTGGCCACTCGTTCACGGATACCTTTTCTCCCTTCCGCATAGCTCCCGTCCGCTCGTTCCCCGTCGCCGCCGCCACTCACCTCTGCGATCCCACTCCTTCCTGTTCCATTCCCCATCCGCTCGCGCATCACTGTACAGCTGCAAGCCCGATCCTTCCTGGGTGCTGCGATGCAGTCGGCAAGGGGGCACTCGATCCGACAGTGAGGGGACACGGGAGTAGAGTCCACTCCCAAACGCGGAGTGGTGCTCTCGATATAGTCCTCTCTTCTTTCACTCCGCTCTTCCCCAGTAGCACGGACGCATGTGTGCTCATCGGATTCGGTCGTGTGCCGGCGAGAACTGGGCCGCTGCAGTACGGTCCAGCAGACGCTGCCGACGCTGCAAGTCCCGTTCTTGTCGCTGCGGGAGCTACATTGGCGCCCCACGCGGCTGTTCAGGCGTTCCTTGGGAGGTTGTGGTGGGAGAGGAGCTCGTGTCTGGAATCCGCCAGATCCGAGCTCGCCGGCGGTGGCAACAGTGGTGGGGACTGCCATGGCGGTCGATGCGCCGCTTGACTTCGTGCTCTTGCAGGTCTCCCCTCAACAGGATGTTAGGATGATCTCCACCAGTTGGCCCAACGGTCAATTGGGCCCTTGATTCGCGCCTTGATCGGGGGCGCTCAGCCGGTTCTCCTAGCTGATGGGCCCCCGTCGCGTAGCACCATAAAAGGACGATGGGGGCTAGGGCACAAGACATGAGGTCACCGGTAGCTGCCAGCCCCACCCCGAAGTTCCTAACCCTAGACCAATCGAGAGGGGCGCTGTGAGCAATGGGAAGCGCCATCGTCTTCGCCGCCGCCACAGCACCGCACCTGCACTGCTGCTGAGTCCGACGACCTAGCGGGCGCCTGCACGGCTTCCCCTACTATGACTCCAGTGGCAATGTCACGGTGGCGCCGTGGGCGTGACTGCGCATGGCGAGGTACATCACCAAGTCTCCCATCTAAGTTAAGTTTATCCCCTGATCTACGATCCTAGAGGTCATATTTTCTATCAATGGTATCAGAGCCTGGTTCTCCCATCTAAGAAAAAGATACAAGCGTGACTTGCAAAAGTACATTTAATAAAAGACATCGTCGAGTTCTTAAAGTGGAATGAGGACAGTTGTACTCCTATATGGATCAAAAAATAACTTTATTTGCATGAAATAATCATGTGAATGAAGTAAGTCATAAGTGTCTCCTCGTTCACAGTTTTTCTGAATAGTTCTCAAAATTATGGCAGTAAAGTTCATGCCATATTTCGAGGGGGAGAGTTGTGAGATGAATTAAGAGTAAGAATTAAGATCAATTAAGAAACTACTCTTCATTAAGAGTGAGATAAAAGATGTTGATGAATGTGTACTCTTCGTTAAGAGATAAATATGTTGATGAATGTGACCGTCGGTCACAATAATGATACCCCTAAGCAGAGAAATAGCTAAATTTCTGGATCTTTTAAAGTTCCGACAGAAAGATAGCATAGTCAGCCTCAAAGATGTTAAGGTGGTGTTTAAAGCGCCATATGAGGTTTTAAC